GGGGAAAAGGGCGGCATATAAATATAATCAAATCAAATCAAATCAATCAAATCAATACTTCCTTGGTGTGTAGCACTGCTACCTTAAAATTAGCCTGAAAGGGAGAGTTTGCATGTGCTTCAAAGGATGGAGTACACTTTAGAAAGGAGGTAAGTCGATATTCACCATGGTTTCCCAGCATGGAAAGCACACCTTTATTAAAAGAACATGTGGAAGAGTTTTTTTTTCCAGTGGTACCTTCTGAATTCTGGATGCTAGGTAGAGGCAGATATTTTTCTCCTTGGGCACAATGGGAATATATCTGCTGAATAAAACTCTGCAATGGCAACAGGAAAGGCATCTGGCCAATAAACTCTCAGCTCCATTCAGTTGCGCAGACTCTACCCTACAAGGGATTATGGGATCATTAAAAGTAGATGAGGATGATATCTCCAAAAGGTTTTTCTAAGAGCTGAAATTATTTGATTTCCATTATTCCGGATGCTAGGTAGAGGCAGATATTTTTCTCCTTGGGCACAAGGGGAATATATCTGCTGAATAAAACTCCGCATTGGCAACAGGAAAGCATCCGGCCAGTAAACACTGCTAGCTCCATTCAGTTGCCCAGACTCCTTCCTGCAAGGGGTTATGGGGTCGTTAAAAGAGGATGATAATGATGGTGACCTTGTGACCTTGCTGGACAGGAGTTGCCCCACTGGAGAACACTTAGTGAAGAGACTGGAGCTTAATTCAAATGATAGGATTTGCAGGCGAAGGTCCTGATTTGGATCCTAGCTAGGATCTTGGTTGAGCATCTATGAATTGCAATCATTATGGTTTGCAAACGGTTTAGGGTTGAATTGGTGTTCCAGAAGCCAAAGCAAGGCGATTTGTGGTCTGATAAATTAGGAACCTTACAACAGTAGTACAGCTGATCCTTGACTTACAACACCTTGTTTAGTGATCGAACTTACAACAGCACTAAAATAAAGTGGCTTGAGACCATTTCTCACACTTAACGACTATGGTAACCTCCCCATGGTCACGTGATCAAAATTCCGCCGTTTGGCAACTGACTCGTATTTGTGACGGTTGCAGTGTCCCAGGGTCACTTTACGGCGAGCAAGGTCAATGGGGGAAGCCGGGGGTTCACTTAACGACTTTGCAGTGATTCATTGAGCAACTTTGGCAAGAAAGGTAGCAAAATGGAGGGAAACTCACTTAACAAATGGGGCGCTTGGCAATTTTGGGCTCAGTTGGTCGTACGTTGAGGATTACTTCTACACATTTCACACCTGACTTCAAAATAAACCTTACAGATACACGGAGTTGGAAGGGATCTTGTACATCATCTAGTCCAACGCCTCCCCCACCGGTCCGCCCAAGCAGGAGACTCTGCCTATACCATTTCTGACAGATGGCAGTCCAGTCTCCTTGAAAGCTTCCAGGGATGGAGTTCCCACACCTTCATCGTCTACCTGTGGCCTGACTCCCAAGTCGACCCCTGTTCTTTAGCTGTTCCCTTCATCTGGCAGCTCTGCACACAATGGGAACAGGCTCCACTGTTCTTCTGCCTCACTGATGTCTGACTCTGAAGGCAGCTGATAACTGGCATAACGGCCCTGGCCCTCATGAATGGAACTCATTGTCTCCT